GCAAACTCTAACTCATGAGGCCCTGTACAAATAAAAACAAAGTTAAACATTTCCAACATACCATGGTACAAGGTAAACTTGTATATTCCAAAAGGTAGAAATAGGAAGACAGACAAGAATGGAGCCAAAGCAACGCCAAAATCAACTGGGGCACACACGAAGTCCCATAGTTCCATGTCCAGCATCTAGTACAATCTGCAGCAACAAGTGAACTTCACAAGGTTTGGGTGGCTCTGCCCTTGGGGTACTCCCAGTGACTGTAGCTCTTACGGCTTCTTCCCTGACTCAGTGTTGCTCAATCCTTGCAGTTTTCTTCAGGAGTTCTATGTTCCTGACTTCTTCAACTTTCTTGGGTCTCCACTGCACTTTCATCTTCACACTCACAGTTGCACACACAGCTTCTCAAGGCACAAGACTCCTGGGTCATGTCCTGAAATCTGGGTGGAAGCCTTCCTGACACCACAGCTCCTGCATTCTGCATGCGTCTAAAACCAGCACCATGTGAATGCTAAGGTCTGCCGCAGCTAGGCTTCCTTCTCTTTTGGTTGTAGAGGTTGAGTGTTTGGACTGCTGAGCACTATGAATCCAATCCCATAGGACAAATTCTGTAGGTTGATGCCATTCTAGAAATTAGTGCTTTGGAGCTATCTTCTTAAGGCAAGGTTTTTATCTTTGCAATTTTGAAGTTAAATGGTGGGGTCTTCAGAATCACACACTCATGATCCAGCCACCTCCCAAAACTTCCACCTATGGGCACATGAGGCTTTGGGCGAAAATATAAATACAAGCCAGAACATCTACTAGAGTCCAATTGATACACATGCCTCCTGTGTCTGTCTCCATTAATCAACAATGAATGCCTTGAGAGAAGGGACTTATTTTTATCTCTTTGGGACTTCAGTGCTAGACAATACTAGACACATGAGATTAGATGTTCTAGAAATTTTTATAAATAAACTCATTAGTGGGAATCACTTAAATGGACATTTGCTTAGGAATATTCTAGGAAAATATGAGAGAACATAAATATCAGAAAATATATTTTTATTCTTGTGTTAAATGCAAAAATAGTTGTAGACAGGGATAAGGCTGGAAAAGTAAACATGAGCCAGAAGGCAAAGTGTCTTGGTTCTCATACTATAGTTCTTTTATACTTTAAGATACTTTACCTTAAGGTTAGAAGAAACTTTAGCAAAACAATGGTAAAGCACTTGAAGTTATAAGTGTAGGAAAGGATTTTCTAAACAGAACCACAGTTGCACAAGAAATAATAGCAAGATTATAGTGCAGTAAAGCTTCGGTATAGCAAAAGAATTAGACAGCAGAGTGAAGAAACAACCCTCAGAATGAGAAAAAAAATTGCCAGCTAATTTTCACACAAAAAGCTAATATCTATTATACATATAGAACTCAGAAAGTTAGACCACCTAAAATAAAAGACCTAGTTAAGAAATGGGCAAATGAACAAATGCCTCATAGTGTGGCTAAAAAACACATAAAAAAAAATGATTCCAACATCTCTGGCCACCAGAGAGATGCAAATTAAAAGAACACTAAGATTTCATTTTAATCAAGAAAGAATCATTAAGAAATCAAAAAATTACAAATGCTGGCATGGCTGTGTTGAAAAAGGAACACACTTATATTGTTGGTGGGACTGTAAATGGTACAACCAGTATGAAAATCAGCATGGAGAGTCCTCAAATAACAAAAATTAGAAATTCTATATAACCCAGCTATTTCCCTTCTAGGTATTTTTCCCAAAGAGCTTAAGACATCATACTGCAGTGCTACATACATACCAATGTTTGTAGCAGCATAAGTCATAATAGTTAAATCTTGGAAGCAGCCTGTATATCCATCAACAGATGACTGGAAGAAGAAAATGTGGTATCTATCTATATATCTATAGATATCTATATCTATATAGACATATAGATATAGATATTGGAATATTACTCAGCTATAATGAAGGAAAAATTGAGACATTTGTAGGAATATGGATGCACCTGGAAAATATAATACCAAGTGAAATAAATGAGACATACAAGTTTAAATTTCATACAGTAGCTCTTCTTTGAGTAAGGCAAAGTACAAAGTAAGAGAAAAATAAAGGAAGGATAGAAAGAAACAAAGGGATAGATCTCTTGCTGATGGGAAGGGGTCCAGGGGCCATGGTGAGGGGTGTGGGGGTGGGGAATGGGTAATAGGTAGAATGAAGATAAGCCAGGTATAAGGTCCTAATACGCTCAGTGAATGTGGATGTTCTTTGCCATAAACTTGAACAAAGTTTCATAATATCCACAAGAAAAGAAAGGGGGGGAAGGAGAACTAGAGGAGGATAGAAAAAGAAAGAATTACGCTCTATTATGTACATATACCAACTTCCTAAGATGATTGTAAAATGCATGTACTGCAAACATGTACTAATAAAATAAAATTAAAAATAAATATATTGGAAGTTAGTAGATTAGGCCATATTTTTAAGGTTTATACTCAAATGGACAAAAATCTAACACTTTTTTCCATAATTCATTTCAGTATCAGTTTTGAATCTCCATTATGCTATTTTAGCCAATTCTACTAGACAAATAATGATACTCTTTCTCTCTATGAGGTATGCAATTCAATGTCATGAACAAAAGACATCTAGTTTACCCACTGGCGAATGTCCATCCTGTCATTTCATGAACCACAGGGACAAGTGTGCCTCCTGGATTGTAAGTGGGCCAGATGGATCCATGATATCACCATTCACAAAGAAAAAAACGTGGGACAAGAGCATGTCAGGAGACCTCAGAATGGAGACATCTTTGCAGAAGCTGCAGATAATTGAGAGATTAAGTCAAGTAGGCAGATGAGCATCTGGGATCTAGAGTTCAGGAGAAGAATGGATTTAAGGATTGTCAACAAAATGCCTGAAAAAGATATATGTTCAAGAAATACTTGTTTTAAAAACCATTAGAAATGATGGTTTAAACCACGGGAAGCACAAATGTCAGATACTATGCTAGAATGTTTGAAAAATAGAAGATTAAGAAATAAATGGAAAAGGTTAAGGAAGTATTGTGCTTTAAATAGCCAGACAAGGTGGGGGAAAACGTAGTCATTCACAGAAACCAGAGAAGCTCAAAAAGAAGGATCAATTACCATTAGCAATCAACTCAGACAGGTCAAGTCGGACAACAAATAGAATTGTGTGCTCCATTAAGCTACAAAGAGATCATCAAAGATTGCCTAAAAAATGCTGATGGAGACCAGATTTTAAAGCAAAATAATAAACATAATAAATGAAGACAATGATTGTAGAAATACTCTAAGGAAAAAAAACTAAAGATTTGCTATCAAAGTGAAAGTTGAAATAGTGGTTGCATTCAGAATTGAAGAGCATTTTTTCAGTGGCCCATTTGTTAGTCTGGGACAGATCTTTGATTATCTTCATTTAATGCATCAACTATGTAAAAATCGGTTGTTAAAAACTGTGAACTATTTCGTTGAGATACTGTCCACATTTGGCCCTTTATGCATCTTGTTCTCCTATTAAAACTCCCTCAAGAACTATGTCCTCCAGGCTTCCCCAAGTCATCTGGGTAGCACTCTTACATTAACTAATTAAAGTAATGTTTTCACTCACTCACACACTCATTTTTTCCCCAGTACTTCCCATCAAATAAAGAAAGCAGTACTTTTTATTTATAGTTTTAAAGTCCTCAAAATTGTCACTAGGCTCACACAGCTAAAGTTCATCTTTTATAAAACTATCCCCGCTGTTCACGCCATTCCTTCAATGTTGAAAAATCTCTCAGTTTTTGCCACTTTTCAAAATCCTCCTCACCATCAAAGACTCCTTTTCTTAAGCAGGATGTTTGCTTTGATCCCTTCAGGTGGAGGAGATCCTTTTCCCTGTGCAATCCGACAGTTGTGAATTTTTACAACTTCTACCACACTTTTCATATGCTATCTGTCTTGAAGTTATTGATGTTTAAATTTCCTAGGAGATAATAAATACCTCATAGAGAGAGAACATGCCTCATGTATCTCTTAGCCCCCATGGAGCTTTACACAGTAGTTGTTTTACTCAGTAGTTGTTTTAATTTAGTAAATATGCAATCTATTTGTTAATGATATGCAAGAGGCATGGAAGAAAAAAAGCAGCTGCAAAAGAATGAGAGAATTATTTTACTATCTACTTAGTAACATAGTATTCAAATACCTCTATAAGTACTGTTTTGGAATTTCACAAACCATATACTAAAAGGCTTCTTAGGGGCCATGAAAAATCTATTTAAAAGTGAATTCAATATATAGACACAGATGGTAATGATACTAATAATAGAATATCCAGCTTACATTCAAATCATCGTAAAAATCTTCATTTTGCTTTGCTTTTTTCAGTGCTAGTATTGAATCCAGGTCCTCTGTATACTTGACAAGGATTCTGCCACCGAGCAAAACCCTCGGTTGCACATTTGAATTTGTTTTTACTTTTTCTTAATTGTATTGGTACATTTTAGGTATGCAGTATAATGACATTCACCATTGGAAATTTGCACCTTTACATAATCTATCGTGGTTCTTACTTTTCCCCCATTGCCCTACCCTCCCTTCATGCCCTCCATTCTTCCCTATTTACAGGGGAAATGGAAGTGGAGGGGGAGGGAAAAGGAAAGAAGGGAATGGGATTAATATGAGAAAAAGAAAAAATGGAAACAGTTAAGCATTTTGAAGGCGGTTCTCAAAGTGTGTTATTATGAGAGAAGATTAACAGGGATTCTGGGGAAAAGTATTTGAACTAAGAAATAATTTCAATTTGATTCAATAAGTTTGAAATAAGTTTGGAGTACATTTCATGTTCAAAATGCTTTGTGTTACTTAGTACAGAATAGGAAGAAATCTTTCGGTCGAGTTTTCCTAAAAAAATCTTTGCATCTAATGGAAGAAACAGAGAAGTCGTTACTAATTTGAAGTGACTGTTCCAGTGCCAAAGAACTAGCCTCAAATTTAGTGTGTCCAGGGAAGCCACGAGCAATCACAGTTATGGCCCCACGAATGTTCGAAACTGTCTGCCATCTCAGATCATCGTGGTAGTCACACCCCAGAGTCCACAAACAGGAACCGGAAATCCTGCAACGGACACACCCAGAACCTTCAGCCCTGGTTCCTCAGCCTGTGAAGCTGAGGTCTCCCAGATCTGATGGCTGCAGACCAGTGCGGAGCTCAGATTGCATCTTCTCCTGCTCCGAGCGGTTAGACTGTCCTCACCCCTTCCTCCTTGCACTAATGCTCTTCAACTTCAGTTTCCCGTAGGCCAGAAAGATGTCCAGAAGAAATAATCATTGACTCAACAGAGCCACAATTATAACTTTAATGGTTTTACTAGCCACATTTAAAAAATTGACAACGAAATCTGAAATTAATTTTAGCAATGCATTTAACCCCTGATATCTAATATATTCGCATATCAATATTTTATTAAAAATAATTGAGATAGGGCTGGGGATTTGGCTCAGTGGTTCTGCTGCCTGCCTCGCAAGTGCAAGGACCCTTGAGATAGTTTGTATTTTTGTGCTATGTTGAGTGCAGAAAAACTACATATATGCAGTGGTTAGGATAATACCCTCATTTATAGTATACTGCACACATTATAAAATATTATAAGAAAAAACAGACTCAAAGCATTACTATTAAAGACCTAGGTAATACAGACATGTTACAAATGGGATAAGGAGAAATTTGAAACAATTCACAGGCTCTGGGCGAAGATTTGAAAGAAGAATGAGATTTTGATAGAGAACTGGGGTGGACTAGACAAGGAAAGGAAAAGCCTGGTGAGGTACATGCACAAGCAAGTTTCCACAGCTTCTGCTTGTGTCTTTGGCTGTAGAGGAGCAGGTCTAGCCTGAGTGTGCCTCAAGGGAAGGTGTAGAAGAACAAGATCGCTGCCCAGGTTTTCGACTTTACCTTGACAGTTGTATGTAGCTTGCCAAAAAATAATAGCATCACTTCGTCTTTGTTTCTCGGCAGGCTGAAGCTGGCTAATTTATTATAACGCAGCATGAGTTGCACTTTTCTAGATACTTTCCCCAAATTTTTTAAGCTTAAAAAATACTGTTGTTAGGATATTAGTACATTGAGGGAAATAGCCAATGGCTGTATCATACCTTGAGTGCCTTTGACTTTTGAATTTTATCTGAAAAGAGACAGTCATGCTTGTAGTTACTCACTTATTTCCTAGATGAAATGATTTTCATGCTATGTTAAAGCAGAAAAGTCTTACTAGGAGTTGCTTTCAACCCACTGGATGGATATAT